GCATTTAATTAATAAATTTCGCAGCAAACGAAATCAGCGATCTCGCGCGCACGAATTCAAATTGTCACGAACCGGTGTTATAACATCCTCCCGTCTTTCGTCCTTTAATTAAACTTAATCAAAACTCGAAATGAGAGAAACGATAGCGGAGACGATAGCCAGGTGAAAGTAGGTCTTGCAGTCTATTCGGGTGGAGACCGAAAATCTTGTTTGCTTGCTCCTCGCCTACTTTTACGGCGTTAGTCATCACTTGCGTTTTCTCGAAGCACCGTTGCAGAAAGAAAAAAAAATAAAATCCAGAAGGAGTGACGCTTCTCGAGTGAATCGGTGATTCGTAACAGGAAGATAAAAACTCAGCATTTAAAGTTGAAATAAGATGGACCGTACGACTTTTAGTCGATTCGAATGTTTGCTCCACTCTTCAATCAGATTTCTCTTATATTAAAGTGAAATCGAGACGTTGTAATTGGAGAATAATGGTTTATTCTTTAGCTCTTTCTTTCTTATAAATCCTTTCGAACACTAATAATGTAATTTAATAAACGTTAAATATGTATAATATACAATTAAATATGTGTTTGTAATTAAAGATGTGTCGGTTGCTGTGCAACAATAGCAGTTATCGAAATTTAAAAAGCACATTTATTATTTGTATTATTTAAAATATTAAATAAGCAGATTTGAATTTAAGATATTAAAATATAAATAAAATAACATAGTTTTTAACATTTCCATAAAAGAAAATATTTGTAATTAATCTGTTTTTTTTTTTAATGACCATTTCTAAACTATTTAAAGAATTATGCTCAATTTTTATGCACATATTCAAAAGAAATAATAGATCAATCTATTAAATTTTTGCGCTTTTGTTAATCTTTGGATGTATGACACACGATTTTAATAATATTTTGACATTAAACAAATGTTCGCTCTCCTACCTTTCAATATGCATGCATAAATTAATATTCGATTGCTTCATTATGTCGGAAATATCTTGAAGGCGACGTTGATTAACATTTTATATACTGCCCACTTCTTTTAGTATCATCATATCAGATATTATTCTCGTAATCGTCGAAAAAGTTCCAAGCATTTTTTTATGACCTTTAAATTAAAAAACCTATTAATATACGTAAAAATTGGATTTTTTAATATCCTCATCTAAATTCTGATTAAAGTCAAGCCATACGAATCATTATATTGATTGAATTGTACTTGATTCTAACTCTGAGAGAAAAAAATGAAAGGGAAGGAGATGTTTAATAAATACAATTGGATTGAATTAAATAAGTATTAATTTAATCACATATAATTACAATCACACATATTTACGATTCATACGCCAGACTCCGCTATGAAATAATTTGTCATATGTTGAAAAAGAATTTAAATCAAAAAATGCGCCGTTAGCAAAGTTGATTGTCATTAAAAGTATATTGTTAAAAAGTGTCTAAACCTTTCAAACGCTCGTGCGCGACTAAAATATAAAAGAGTAATCACACTAGAATACATTTGCGATCTTTTTCGCTAGGATAGATTTTCCGGAAAATTTAAATTTACGTCCCGATCATTTCTTTGTGAAATTCATTCATTATACAATCAATATCTCCTATCAAATCTTTTTGAGAATTTTAAAATATTTTGCTTTCACATAGATATCTGACTTCGGCAAAGCCACTTCTGTTATCTCACTTCTTTTAAAAAAAATTTTTTTTTTTAACTTAAAGTAAACCATGCGTTCGGGGATTGAATAGGTAGTAAAAGAATGTGGGGGAAAGCTAACCTGGGCGGGGTGGGTCAAGATGGATTACAATAAGATTACAAATCGAAGGAAGAACTGGTGCGTTTCGGAAAAGCTTTTATCGTGCTCGCAGTTTGCAAAGGGCGCAGCCTGGATTTATATACAAGTTAGTTTAATCTGGATTGCGTACGGGATCATGTTGGGCGGTGAGCGGTATCACGGTACGGCCTCGTCGCGATCGGCACACAAACGTTGCGCAATCCTGTCAAATAATTCATAATCGAGCTGGAAGAGCAACGTGGATAGAGGAACGAGTAACGGAGAGTAAGCGTCGTCCCAGCGCAACGTGCGGCGGCATCGGTTTGATCGCTGTCGTCACACGACGACAATTTGTCGTCGAGAAATAATTAATAAATACCGTAAAATAGCATAGCTAACATTGTTCTTTCGTATCTAAGCAGATCTCGAATACATCTTGTATCCTTATTTAGCGTTATTCCAGGCGTTATTTCGTGGCGTGGATCATCGAAAGTCGTCCTCGGAAAGTGGAGTCCTCGAAACGTACTGATCGCCGTACTGATGATTTTCGTCGGTTGCCGTTTTTGCGCGTCGAAAGATCACGTCGAAGAGGCTACACCGTGACCTTCTCCCCCAGGGGGAATAGGGGTGCTGTCGGATTTAAGGCTTCGGCGCCTCCGGCTGCGCCTTCGCGGCATCCTCGGTCGGCGGTGGCAAGGTCGGAATGTCGGGGTACTCGAGTGTCGCGCCGTCCTCGCACTCGAAGATCGGACAGCACTCGGGGAAGCTCGCGGTTTTGTTGGTCTTATCGGAGAGCTTGCACTTAGGGTTGGCTTTGGGCAGGGGGCCGCAGTCCTCTACCAGTTCGAACAAACGGCCGGAGTTATCGTCGGCGGAGACGCAGGTGGAACGGCCGCAGAACGGTGACAGCTCCCACGATTTTCCCGGCTCGATAGTCGCGCACTTGGTCGACGCGAAGCACGTGCCAGGGAAGTCTACAATGTAATGAAATAACACAAATAAATGACATTTCCTCTTATTAGGATAAAAACCAGCCAGTGAGAGAAAAGAGTCAAAAAAGAGCACTTAAGATTTAACTTAATTAATGATAAATGATTATCTGTCTTTACATAATTATGCATACAAAAAAAATAGTTCTGCTAAAGTATCTAAAAAGATTTGGTCAGATATATATCTGAAAATAATTTTGTTGGACGTTCAAATCAAAATAATCATGTAATTATCAAAATAATTATATAGCATGTCCAAATTAATTCTTAATATTGAAAAAAATTTGCGATATTACCATACTATATAATAATTTTCTTGATTCAACAAAATTATTTTCAGATTCTAATCAAATTTTTAGATATTTCAGCAGAACCGATTATAAATGATATAATGATTTATTATGAGATATAATAATTTGTTTATATACAAATAACAATATAAAACAATAAAAAAAATCGAACAAATCTTGGTATTGATAATTATTATTATTTGTAACGAGCTTCTTTCTAAATTTAATAATGCTAATATGTCAACATTATTATTAATCCGCTTTTTCCGATATGTATGGGGATTCGCGGATCTTTTTCGTGCAAGTCGTGCTCGATTTTCATCAACGATTATATGGATTATCAATAAATGAAAGTAAATTATTCGAGTTGAGCGATTGTTAAAATTAGCGATTTGTTAAAATCAAACAACGAAACAAGAAAGATAGAAATTGCGATTCCTTAACTGAAAAAATAGTGTTGCAATCATAAAAATTATCTAAATACGAGAAATTAACTAAAATGAAAAAATGACTAGCAAGCACTGTGATATCACATATGTTTATATTTTATATCTAATTAATATAAATGACAGAGACAGAATTTATCTAAAGCCTTTATCAAATTTAGCAAGAAAGTGGCGCCCAATCAGATAATAGCCATTCACACCTTTTTTAAAAGTGATTATGATTTGATTATGAGACAATAATGAGATCTAAATTTTCCAGCATATGTTGTTAAAATATTGCCGTTATAAATTCTGCATACGACAGACAATTTTCGATTAGATATCAAAAACAATGATACATTTTAATTGAAATAACATTTAGAATTCTAGCCAAAGACATTTTTTTGAGTGATAGCAACGCGTTTACTCGCTCTGTTATTTTATTATATCGTCACGCGTAATTTCCATAAAAGTGTCGTACTTTCTAATGCGCGTCGAACCCAAACGGTGTTAATGCTCATCGAACAATGTTGCTCGTTAATTATCGGCCTGGATAACCGGGCAAATGAGAGAGCCGATACGAGAGAATGGATGTGACTTTTAATATTGTTTTGCATGCTACGATGAATAATGAAATCGAGGACGTCGATTTCGTACTAAAGAAAAGTTACACTAATGGTAAAATAGAGAATTATTCACAAGTAGCCGATTTTCATTAGATAATTTTTTTTAAATAGCAAAATATAATATTTTTTATTAGATAAGCAAGTATCGTTTTGATTTAGCGTTTTGATTTAATAACACAATTTTATTTTACTCACATTTTGTAAATAATAATGCAAAATTGGTCGATTATTCTTTAGTCTCAAATTTTTGCTGAAAAACGAAGTTTTGTTGAAGTATCTAAAAATTTGGCCAGATACAAAAAAAGTATGAAAATAATTCTATCGGGCTACCAAAGTAATTATGTAAGATTCATATTTCTTGCTAAACAATACATGAACATTTGTATTTTATTTGATTCAACAAAATTTATATCTGACCAAATTTTTAGACTTCAATATAATTCTTAAAGAAGACTTAAATAAGAAAATTTTTCTTCCATGAAAATATAAGTAGAGCCTAAAACTCAATTCACGTGGGAGATAATCTTTTTATACCGATGTCAATATCTCTTTGTATAATATCGGCTTTCGTATCGACGTCATTGTCCCTATTGTAAACTAAACGACTCGACAACGCGAATGCAACACGCCCGTTGGGTTCGGCGTCCTATTTTCGAGCCAGCCCGCATCCGCAACACGCTAATGACAGTCGCGAAATTTCAACTTCCTCGATGCCGGAACCGCGTGCGATGACGACGAATGCAACGGATGACGGCGTTACGGGGCTAATTCGATTGTAATGATCGACGATGAACGTCGCCTTGATACACATTCTGTAACGACGACGACGACGATGACGATGACGACGACAATGACGACGATGACGAGAGGGCGACGACGAGAAACGGCATGCACCGTGTGCTCCTCGTCGTCATCGTCATCGTCGGCACAGTGGCGGTGATATCGTGCTAGAAATCTCAAGGAGAAACACTTTCACTGTCATACAAGCGGTTGCACGCCGCTTTTACGTAACGCGCCAACGACAAATGTTGGGCGTCGTTACGATGGATGTCGACGTGTCGGCTTTTAACTGCGAGCAGCGAGTTACATCAGCCCTTCGAGGCTGTCTGTCGCGATGACTCACGATGAAACCGTTTCACCCGAGAGACGGCGAGGAAGCCGTCGAAGGAAGCCTCGGAAGAGCGATCGAAGGAAGTTTTGAAATATTGAAAAAAAATAATCTTGCAATCATAGCGAAAATTATCTAAACGGAAAATTAGCTAAAATCGATAAATCGACTAGCGAGCATGCAATATCGCAATATGTTTTTTATGTAATCGATGACAGTGATGATAGCGACAGGATTTATATTCGAACAAGTTGTTCTCAAATTTGAGAAAGAGCAAGAAAATCTCTGTGATGACGTCCAATCAGATAATAATCTAAACTCACATTTCTCTGTATAAAAATGTGAAAAATTGACTGTATGATTTGATTATAGATCTAAATCTTCTCGCACATATAACTTTAAATGTTGTTGTCACAAATTCTACAAATGACAGATAATTTCTCTCTATTTTCTAATAACAAAAAAATACAAAAAAAAAGCAGTGATACATTTTACTTCTAATATTTAGGATTCTAGCTGGACCAGCGAAACATTTTTTTGAGTGAAATTTTTTATCGTGTAAGAGCAGAGAAATATGTTAAAAAAATAATAGAAAAAGAAATAATAAATCTAATTAAACAGACAATTCATCAATTCCTACAGCTTGAAAGAAACGTACTGTAATTTATGATTCAGGTTGACCAACATCTTGCGGTATCTACAAGATAAATAAAAGTAAAAGATTACGCATTTTGCACGGATGTTAGTATGTCTAATATATAATTCAGCTCCGACTCGAGCGTGTGTTTAAACAATGACGTGTTCGTTACCATTTTTTCAATGCCAACCTCGATGCGATCGACGTTTACGGCACCATTATGCCGTTGTGGTTTTCTCGTTTCACGATTGCCATAAAATAGTAAACAAGGGCATTTATTAAAAAAGTAAATGGCGCAAGAATTGCGATATTTTTCATAATTAATTATTTAAAAAACACAAAATTAATTTTTTCAAGAGAAAAGCAGTTCAATTAAATTTTAAGAAAAAAAATTATTTTTATAAAAAGATTGATTTTTAGAGATATCATATTCTTGGGTCTCTCTCTCTCTCT